TCAGGGGTTGGGCTTGGCCCCTTAGTTCCAGTGAAGGGAACTCTTAAGGCATCAGCACACCAAGACATTTTGGATTTTGGACAATTTCATGCGCACAACTTTGTGGGAGGAGTTTGGGGATGGCCCCTTCCTGTTCCAACATGACTGCACACCAGTGCACAAAGCAAGGTCCATAAAGACATGGATGGGGGAGTTTGTAGTGGAGGAACTTGACTGGCCTGCACAGAGTCCTGACCTCGACCCGATAGAACAGCTTTGGGATGAATGAGAGCGGAGACTGCGAGCCCGGCCTTCTCCTCCATCATCAGTACCTGACCTCACAAATGGTCCAACATTCCCATAGACACACTCCTAAACCTTGTGGACGCCTTCCCAGGAGAGTTGAAGCTGTTATAGCTGCAAAAGGCGGAGCTAACCAAATACTGAACCCTACTGACTGAGACTGGGATGCCATTAAAGTTCATGTGCGTGTTAAGGCAATACTTTGGGCAATATAGTTTAGATGGTGGAATGTTGTAAATATTTTTTTTTTTTTGTGTTTGTTTATTGGAAATAATAAAATATATATGGAAACATCTCTTCACCCTTTTGTGAATAGCCCTGTTAATATTTATTTAAGTAATACATTTAATTTAAATAAGTTTTTTTTACCTTTTGTGTTCTATATTATGATTTTATTGAAAAAAAAAAAAAAACGAGATCCCAGTTTTCCCTTTAAAAACTACCGTAGTCCACCTTCCTTCCGCCGGCCCCATTGACTCCGGTGCATTATGCTGAAATGTTGCGGAAATGTTCGGAATTTCCCCCGAATTTTGGACGCGGTCAGCTTTGCTCCACCGTAGTGAGGGAGGAAGAGAGAGAGAAAAAAGGCAAATCTGCCTGAGGAAGGAAGAGCGCTAATTGGGAGCGCGAGGTGATCAGAGGGAGCGCGTGTTCCTGCCATTGTTATGTGATGACACCATCGTGCGTCCTGGCAGTGGGAACGAGGAAGCGTCTCCATCATTCTGCGCGCGCTCTGCGGTGCAGGAAAGTGACCGGCCGGCCGCGTTTATTCACCTACAAAATTTTACAGACGCAGAAAAAGATTTTTTGCAGTTTCAAAGGCATCTGATGTCCAACTACATCAATACCACATATATATTTGATGCTTCAAAGTTGTTCGGCGCGATCGGCTAATAAAGTTTTTTGATTTAAAAAAAATTCCAAATTTAAACTGGAAAACAAAATGTATATCAGAACATTTGTGGCCAGCGCCAGGCTAAGGTTTTGGGTGGAGTGTGAAAGGCTTAGAAACCCTGTCAGGTTCTCATTGCTGTGTCCTCAATGGAAAGGTTCAAATCTCTATGTGCCCGGGTGTCACTGAGACAGGAAGTGATGGGAAATCCAAAATCTGATAGTTGTCACCAGAACAGGAAGTGAGTGGAAAGCTTCCAATGGGGACATCTGTTCTGGTGGCAACTGTCCCATATTGGATTTCCCATCACTTCCTATCTCAGTGACACCAGGGCAAATAGAGAGGGTGAACCACCCTATTGAGGTCAGCAATAAAAAGCTGACAGGGGTTCCAAGCCCTTTAGACAGATGCCCTCTCACTTTTTTATTTGGTGGTGTGTGAAAGGCTTAGAACCCCTGTCAGGTTTTCACTGCTGTGTTCTTATTGGGGAGGATCACAGACCAAAGACCCGGGTTCAAGACTCCAGGTCTTGGTGTCACAGAGACAGGAAGTGTTAAAAATCCAAAATGTGACAGTTGTCACCAGAACAGGAAGTGAGGTGAAAACTTCCGAAGGGGACACCTGTTTTGTAATTTTGGATTTTGCATCACTTCTTGTCTCAGTGGCCCCAGGGCAAATTGAGTAGGTGGACCCTCCATTTTTAGTACACAACATTAAAATCCTTCCAAGCCAGGTATACACACACTTTTATTTATTTTTTTTGTTCAGCCCTGAACTCCCTACTTTGAATCCTGAGAGCGGCAGGGGCGCCGTTGTCACAATATTGGCTGCCATCACTGACAGTCTGTAGAATTTTCATCTGGCTCCTGCGATCTGATGAAAGGATGCCGGACGGAAGGGTGGCGACATGGCCACATCAAGAACCAGTCGTACAGTGTATGGCTGGCTCTAGACAGATTTCCTCGCACTTCCTGTTGTGTCTCCCAGACAGGAAGTGAAAGCAAATCTCTCCAGTGGAATCACACACACAACAAATCAAACCTACAGCATCCAATGCAAATGAAAAATTACATTTGCAATGAACAAATACAATGTTTCCAGCTGCAACAGACATGGAAACAAAGTAACCGGATGATGTAACATCAGAGGGATGAAAGATCAGCGACGCGGCAAAAGACTAAACAGATACAAAGCCAGACATAACAACCAGATTCAAAGAAGAACCACCAGAGGCAAAACCGACCAGAGAAAAATTCCGGAGGAAAACGTTCAATTTAAAAAACGAAGAAAAGACAATTAAAATAAATAGAAATAAAATTAAAATAGAATAATAAAATTAAAATAAAATCAGAAATAAAAATTAAATGTAAAACAATTACAAAATTTATTAAAAAATAAAAATTTACTGGAGCCGTAAAATTCTCCATTGATTGTGGGAGAGATTCCCGACCTCGCCGAAACTGGGTCTTTTTTTTTCTCTCCCAAACATCGAACGCTCAGCGATCATTCAACCTGATCAACAGGGAGTGAGTCCAACTGAGCAAGTCATCTATCGGGCGGATAGACGGCGCTTAAGACATTCGCCAGCTCTCGTTGAACCAGCCCAGTGCGCTGTGCTGCTTCCCCTAATTTTACGCCAAGCAGCCTAAGCCAATCGGTGAGCGGTCTGAGCCAAGTTTTTGGGACAGATCATTCAACTCCCAAAACTCGGAGAGCTTTTTGAATGAAATATTGCACAACAGCCCTGGAAGGCAGACGTGGGACGAGGAAATGGCGTAGTCACGGCGGATATCGGCCCCATCGGGAGAGGATAAGGACGAGCCTGACCCGCGGAGCTTGCAGTCGCAGCATTCCCTGAAGTCAGGAAGGATGGGAGTTTTTGGGAAGAGTGTTTGGAATGTGGGGTGGGGGAGGGGGAGGCTCACCTATGGTGGAGATGTAGGTGCTGTTGAAGCTGTCCTCGGAGAAGCGGACGATCAGGCAGGTCTTCCCCACCCCGCTGTCCCCAATCAGCAAAAGTTTGAAGAGATGATCGTAGGACTTCGCCATGTTTGAGGGAGAGAGGAGAGGGAGGAGGGTGGAGATGGGGGAGGAGGAGAGGAGGGGGGAGGAGGGGGTGAGTGCCCGCATAGCACACAACTCAGCATTGGCTGCCTGAGAGACGGAGAGCAGGAAAGAGGAAAATAGGAAGAGGAGTCAGGACACACCCCGGGAATTTTATTAAAGGATTGCTCTGCCCGGGACTGAGACGTATACATCGCATATAATCCCTTCTACCTCTCAGGGACATAATTAGTGAGATCCCTGTGCTGAGTTCCCAGCTCCGCTCACCTGCTGGGCCCATTATTCCTGTGCTGTGCCCATTATGAGGGGTTCCCACCATCCCTGTGCTGTGTTCCCGGGTCTGTACACCCGCTGTGCCCATTATGAGGGGCTCCCACCATCCCTGTGCTGTGTTCCCGGGTCTGTACACCCGCTGTGCCCATTATGAGGGGCTCCCACCATCCCTGTGCTGAGTTCCCGGGTCTGTACACCTGCTGTGCCCATTATGAGGGGTTCCCACCATCCCTGTGCTGAGTTCCTGGGTCTGTACACC